CTGGGGCTTTTTTTTTTTTTTTTTTTTTTTTTTTTTTCCATACCGGCTTAGTGTCGAATATCCGCGGAGGAGATATAGCGCCGCTTTTCTTTTTAAATACTTAAGTGGCGGACGTTAAGGGCCGGTCAAGACCGAAATTATTCTCCAATTGGGGATGGGGGGAGGGGGAATGATGCGCCTGAGCTATGGAGCTCTAGTCGTGGTTCTGCGAACAACATCAAGGCACAAAATATAAGGCTCTCTATTACAGTAGGCGGTGCTGATGAGAGAAAATGCATTTTCACAGGGCTGTCAGGGACGAAAATTAGAGACCTGTAATTGCTGGCGTCTTCGGCCCTCTAGTGGTAACCAGCGGTATCGCATTAAGAAAATACATTTTTCTCCAGTCACACTCGAAATCTTGGAATAGAAATTAAAATCCTTTTTACCCCATAGTTCTGGTCAGTTGTTCACGAACTATCAGCATTATTTTTCATTTACCACTATTGTTTCTCTGTCGTTCCTCTTCTCCAGATTGTATGTCTGTGTTCATCCAGAAATGCTCCATTTCATTTCCGAGTCTTAACCTATGAAGTCCAGCAATGGCAACTGGTTGACAGTGGCTGGGAGGAGTGATTAATGTAAAGCTGGGATCTCGTCTGGGGCTATTTTTTAGTGATAATGACAGGCAAAGTGCCTGGTGTAAAAGCAGTGATGAAGATGACATCACCTCAGCTGGGTCACACTAGATGAGCTCTATTAAACAGTCATCATCTGACAGAGACTGAGAGTCTCAAGGTGGTGGCACAAGCTGAGCAGACTTTAGCTCATCCTCACTGTTTACACAAGTATGTTGGAATTACCTCTGTGAGAGATCAGAGAGAGTCACTGTCTTCACTCTCCTGTAACGGAATCTCACAATGAATTAAATAGCAAGTATCACTGACAAATGTATATTTCCAGAAGAGAAAATGACCGTCCTTATTTTCTCAGTGCCTCAGAAGGCCTTTGGGCTTGTCTCATGATTTCTTTGTGTGATGGTAACTTATTGATACTGATCTCATCGAGATATTTCTTGGAGCTTATTTCATATCTTCAGTAGCAGATACAAGTATTCATCCCATCTGCCAATAACCCTAATGAGGGTGGGACTAGATAGGAGGTCCTGAAACAGGCTCCTGATGTCGGGCACCACAATGCCAGTGTGTACGTTTAAATATGGACCTGCTTTTAATTTTCAAGTTGACATTAAATTTAATTTAATTATGACCACTTTCATTATGTCCACTCAAGGGTGTTCTACAAGTAAATGCATTTTCTGGTGTCTGTGACCTCAGCCTTTCATCTTGATGTGAAGGGTAATGATTCACAAGTAGTGTTTTAAAACAAGGAAATATTTTGGTTAATGTCCACCTGTTGAATGTGCAATCATTGAATAATGTTCAAACCAACATGACATCAGTGACAATAATCAAGGAGACTGATTGCAATCAAGAAAAGACATTGTTTATTAGGTACATGTACCATACAAACAACAGGAAGAAATAAATCATAAAGTACAATATAATCAATCATTTTACATTTAATAAAAGTGATTGTTTTCAAATTTAATTTTTAAAGAAACCATCACATTTAGACTTCAAATAAAGATCTAAATGGGTTATTTATATAAATGTTCTCAATCATTTTATCAAGATCTTTAAAGATATAATTGAAAAGACAATTGTGATGAGAAACGGGTAAAGGTTCTTGTGAATGTAGAATATTTACCAAGAAACCACCAAATGCTATATGATCACATAATCAATCACTTAAAATGATAACAATAGACTGAATACAAACATGAATAAGTCACATGATCAGGAAAGGTCATCAGTAAAAGTGAAATGCCCTGATCAACCTTGACAGTACTCTGGGTCTCTTCTTTCACCCCTTGTGTTATGTCTTTTTATTAATTACTGAGAAATCTAAATGCCCACACTTCATCTTTTGTTTTTTGGTACATCTGATCTGTGAGGGACTGGCATGATGTCCAGAGTCTATCACAGATGAACATCACCTTGAAAAGTACAGTATGTCAGTATGTCGCCCCTGATTAATGAACATTTTCTTATAACCCAGAAGATGTGTTTATTTATTTTAGGAGACTGAAACCGAAATAGATGTTTAGTTCCATATATTATGCAAATATCTGAAGATCACTGGTGTTTTCTACAGGAGATGCAGTTAGTAAAACAGTAGGAAAAAGACTTTGCTGAGTTTGGAAAAGAACTTCAAGCGTACTACACAGCGCGAATGGGCAAACGGAGTATCCCCAATCTTGTACTGCACACCCTGAAGTCACCTGTTTCTGAAAAACTGGAAGCACTAACTACTAATTGATCAAATGTCAAAGTAATTGGTCCTTGGGGCCTGAAGGGTTTTCAGATTTGTTTCATGAGATCTCTAAATTGGCCATCATCTTGGTGATGGTGAGTGTTGCCTCACAGCTCCTAGGACATTGGGTCAATTCTGGCCTACAGTGCCTTCCGTGTGGAGTTTGCATGTTCACCCTTTGGCCATTGTTGTCTTTTCCCCACAGTCCAAAGAAACAGTATTAATTGACATTTCTGTATTTCATCCTGTGTGTGTCCTCCAATGGACTGGCATCCCGTCCAGGGTGAGTCCAGCCCTGTGTTATTGACTGCTGGTTTATGCTCTATGCCTCTTACAGGACTGCATGGTTGGGAGGATGATCTCTAAATCACTTAAATTAACAAATAACCTGCTTAACTGATCATAGTCTTTAGAAATGACTGAGTTCCAGGTTACCTACTGTTTAAACACTGCTAGATCGTGAATCTCCAGGACCAGATTAGAATACCTCTTGCTTTATTGCCTCAGTTGTTGCGAACAGCAAATCAATCTGATCATGAGGCTGTTGGTGGTCCAGCAGGTCAGCTCGAGGGAACCCAGAGATATTCCTGATTCACAGGGTCTCAAGAGACACAGAGGCTCCAGGTTTCACCTCGTTCTTGTCTCAGGCTCCTGACTGACCTCATTACTCATCAGTCCCATCACATGTAAATGTGTGTGCAGTTAGTGATCTGGAAATCAGAACTTAGAACTAATTTGGGTTACAGGTAAAGTAAAGGAATGAAAAAGATGCACTATTGCCTAGACTATAATTCAGGGTAACCAAAATATTGCCCTAGAGGGTGACATTTTTTCATGGAGTAAATGTGGCCCCTAGTTGTTTTGGTGTTTATTTCTGCAACCCCTGTTCTTAATTTGCAAATATACTGTTCACCTTAAATTTTAGAAATGTAATTGAATGTTTGTAATTTAATATTTAAATATACATAATGAAAATTGCTCATTTAAATGTGCTTACTTAAATGACTATTTTTCTATATTCTGTTATTATCAAAAAAATTCCAGTATTGCATTTTTCTATATTAAGTGGTTTGTGGTGTCTGCTTCATAACACAGTGAACATGCTTCAGGGACGTGTATTCTAGTTACACTTCGGTCCAGTATTACGTGCAGAACTTAATACAGTAATTCGTAACATGTGAATTTTGTGTTCTTCTGCTGGTTCTATTGGAAATGAAAGTGTATTATTCCCCTGTCTTATTGTTCTAGTGGTAACTCTGTCTTTCATTGGTTTGTAAGATATATCTTCCCCATTCCTATCTATCCAGTCTATACCAAAGAAATTTAAAATTTTAGTTATAATATGTATCTTTAAACTACCCAGGGCTTTCTGAGGATTGTTTTTGTACTTTAGAGGGATCCAAACCTGAAAGGGGGCATTTGCTATATTACACTGGCTTGTCCACCCATTGAAGGCAATTACTTCTTTAATGAATGAGGCTCTTGGATCTAAATGTCTTAAAAAACTGTTGACGTATTCCTGGCCCCGATCAGTTCCGACATTGCAAGCATAGAACTTAACTTCCACTCTTTTGCCAACAGCACTAATACTGTTGTCTGAAAATAATCTCTGTACAATCCCGGCAAGGTCTTCTGGATTCTTTCCCCCAACTATCCATTCATTTTCATTTCCACTAAATCCACCATGATTGTTGATCTGTAAGTACAGCTCCTCAGCCTGTGAAATTGTATTACGAATAGCTTGTAACTTTGTTGGATCCACCACCTCCTTAAACAACTTATTAGGTGTGTTGGCAGTAAACTCCATGAATTTCCACACATCGTTTTCATACATTGCTACTATATTGTTATTCGTGTTGAATAAATTCCTTTCTTTAAATTTGAGGAATAAATCCTTTTCAAACAATATATCATTCTCATTCACGATGAGGTGTAAATTAACATTCGGTTCCTTCCCATACGTGTCACTGCCCATAATGTTAACTAAATCATTGGTGAAAGTCTGCTTCAGTGGGGTTAATGGAGCTTGGATTTTGACTTTGACACGCTTGTGAGGATGTTCTGATTCAGTAAGAACTTGTTTAAGTATCCTTGCCAGTTCTCCTGGATTATTTCCACCTACTTTAAAAACTCCATTATTGTCTGGGCCTGATGGGGAGTTGAGGAAAATGGTCACCATCGCAGCTTCTCTGATTTTCTGCTGAAACTCATTCTCTACACTTGTTGGAATCACCCAAGCCCTCCCGTCAAAAAATTCTAAAGACCCGGCATTATAGACAACTGCAACATTACTGGACCCTTTATTCTTTTGAATTTCAGCTTGCAAGGAAGACTTTTCACTCTGGTCTAAACCAACGTATAGTTTGACCTTCGTTACTCCGATGGCAATTTTTCGGTTTAGACACTCTCGTTCCTTTTCAAACTTTGCAATGTTAACGAACCCATAGATACTCTGGGTGCAGTGTACAGGAAATACAGCTGTGAACAGCTGATTAGGAGTCTGCTGGAAAAGAGAACAGATATCTTTGGCTAACTTTGCTGAAGTACTGCAAGATTTAGATTTCTCTTCTGTTAAGTAGAGCACTTTCCTTCCAGGATTAGTAATGCTGTTGTTGAAACTCTGTATCTTAGCAACATCACTCACAGGGGATAATGTGTTGCCTCTGAGCTCAAGGTAGTTCCAGGATTTATTTTCGTAAAGCATTATAACAGAATTGCTTTGAAATTTGTCAAAAATCGGTGAGTATGTTTTGCAAAACTCTGCTTTATCCTCGAGCAGAAGAAATACCCTAAGAGGAGGATCTCCCAGGCAGCCCTGCTGCAAGAGCAGCAGCAGCACCCAGGTGAGCAAGTGAACTCCTGGCTGTGATGCGGTCATGACCAGAGGTGTCCCAGCACTTCCAGGAATTCTGTCCTGAAAATAGAAGGGCTGTTACTGTCTGACAGGACCTACTTCTTCAGGGAATCTTTCACCCTCATTTCCATCCCATTGTTCAGTGACAATCTAATGTCATTTGTCCTATTTCAGAAGCCATCACACTCCCACTGTGGTAACCTTTTCCTCAGTAGCGACTGCAGATGCTTGACTACTCTCCAGTGTCGTCCTCTCAGCTCACAGCATGGTCATGGTCAGTTAAGAACGTAAGGTTGACTTTTCCAGCCCTGTTGGAATATTCTGTTGAAAAGTTTGTAAATTAAAAAGACCACAGACTTCTTCTTTCCAATGTAATACGGACACTGAGGATTCTGATGAGTGTGATGCCAATCTGAAGGGCCGTCCTTACACTAGGAACCCTGTACAAGTGGGGAGGGTGTGTGTTGTCTGCTTATAAGTCAGATTATGACACTTGCATATTAAATCTGTAATAAAACAATGTAAACATGAAAAAATGACGACCTTTTTCATTTTATTCCCTTACAAGCGGAGATCTCAAATCTATTCCAAGTGGCAAGAAACAAACAGGATAAATCAAAAAGGTAAACCAAAACTTTTCTCTTTAACCTCTCTCTCATACAAATAAAACACACAAACTTCCACAACATGACAATTTTAGCTCATAAGCAGCTGGGCAGGTTTCCTGGAAACCTTGGAACCTTAGATTCTGTTTCTGATATCTATTTAAGATATATTTTTTTTAATAGCCATTTTTCATGTTGACAATTTCTTTGTTATACGTATCACTTGTGTGTCCGTTTTTATTGTATTAAACACAGTTCTGTTACATTTTACTATATACTTTCTGAGTAGACAGTGCATAAATGTCTTTCAGAACCAACAATAAGCCCATTGTAGAAAATTAAATTCTAACTGGATATACAGTCTTATTAACACTGATTAATAATATTATTTATTAATAAATGTGATGACACAGGGGCTCTGAAATTGTGAAAGTTGATCAGAGTTACCCTGCGATTTCTGCATGGCAAAGCTGATTTCTATCCCTAAGTGAGTAAGAACAGGCAGAGATCGTCTTCACACAGTGTTGAAGACCAGTTATGTCCCCATCGACAGTGCAGTGTGAGTCAGGAAAAATGGTCCTGGTGTGTGTCAGTGTGCCCTGGGATGAACTGGATTCCTTGCCTGGATAAGCTCTGGCTCAACTGTGACCCCGAATTGGAAGATGTTTAGATTCTTTTAGACTGATAAAACCTAGAGAAAGAGGATTTATTTGGATGAAAGCTCTGTAAATTTAGTAATTTCTCAGGTCATCAGATTTTAAAGTCTATTTTAGGAGTTAATCATAGGGTTCAGCTAGGAAGCTGTTACGTCCCACATCCCTCCTCTAGAGGGCGCTCCTACCCCTTTCGGTTATGATTAATTTCTATTATTTCCTGGTGCGTCTCGTTGGCTTTTTGGTTAAAAGCCTAGCGTCTCTGCAGTTCCGGGCTCAGTATTGGAAGATGGACGCTACAAGGATGGACACTATTTTCAGGGTTCTCTGAAGGCAGGCCTTTTCCCCGGCGTCCTGACCGCCTGGGTCCGGGATGTTTTTAGTTCCTGTGCCGGTTCCCCTTTTTAACTGTTTGTCTTGGATGGCTCTCCCGGCTCTTGGATTATGTACTGCGCCCCGACTTCCCTTTTGGATTTCCTTGGACTTGGTTGGTACCGCATTTCCCCCATGCACCTGCTCACTACAGTCACCGCCCCTGTCTTGTCCACCCATCCTAACCCCGTTGTACCTTCCTCCATGGTCTTTTACGGATTATACCGTCCGCATAGGGTCTTTAATAACGCACTCTACTGGAGTCAAAACCGGCTTTCGTGACAGAAGCGGTATATAAATATAAACATAAATCCTCTAGAATGGAATTTGGAAAAGAGAGAGAACTTTTAGAGAGAAATTTGAAGACCATACATTGGAAATCTTTAATAATGTATTGTGGAACAGCAGTCGGTTTTAGATCGCTAGCCACCACTAGGGTGCTCACAGCTGTGTGAGAATTCTCCCTCAATGAGCTTAGTGACAGCTGTGCCTCTTGACAGAGACAACTGCAAAGAAAGTATTTTTAGTTTTTTAAATGAATTACAATGTCTTAATTTTTTAAGGATTATTGTATTTTATAATTCTGTAAATAGTCGATATAACTATGGTTTTGTAAAATAAACTCTAATGGGCGCAACAAAAGCTTTAAAAAGTACTGTTCAAGGCAAGATACAGATCTGTCTGTTAGTTTGGTTACTAGAGTAATTGAGTCAGACTGTCAGGGATACCAGTTATAGGGTGTGGTCCAACAGAATCCACAATCAATAGTCCAGTTTATTCTAGGGTGTAGAAACACCAAGTGAGGAAAGTGTAGCAAAAGTTAAAGCATGGCATTGAACTTTCAGGACTGGCCCTGCCTGAGCTAGAGAAAGTCCTCACTTACTATATTAATATAATAATAATTGCTTACACTTATATAGCGCTTTTCTGGACACTCCACTCAAAGCGCTTTACAGGTAATGGGGTCTCCCCTCCACCACCACCACCACCAATGTGCAGCATCCACCTGGATGATGCGACTGCAGCCATAGTGCGCCAGAACGCTCACCACACACTAGCTCTCAGTGGTGAGGAGAGCAGAGTGATGAAGCCAATTCATAGATGGGGATTATTAGGAGGCCATGATTGGTTAAGGCCAATGGGAAATTTGGCCAGGATGCCGGGGTTACACCGCTACTCTTTTCGAGAAATGCCCTGGGATTTTTAATGACCACAGAGAGTCAGGACCTCGGTTTTACGTTTCATCCGAAGGACGGCACCTGTTTACAGTATAGTGTCCCAATCACTATACTGGGGCATTAGGACCCACGTGGACCACAGGGTGAGTGCCCCCTGCTGGCCCCACTAACACCTCTTCCAGCAGCAACCTTAGTTTTTCCCAGGAGGTCTCCCATCCAGGTACTGACCAGGCTCACACCTGCTTAGCTTCAGTGGGTTGCCAGTTGTGAGTTGCAGGGTGATATGGCTGCTGATGGGTTTATGTACTTCTAGTCACTTTACAAGGAAGGATCTGTTACATGAATAAATCCTTTTGTGTAACAATTTAGTACAGAAAATAATTTTATTAATGGTTATATATTTTACTTAAGAGGTGAAAAATAGTTATTTTCTAACCCAGTTTGTGAACTTTTATGTTAATGTATTTTGCTGTGATCCATGTCAACTACATTTTTTAAATCTAAGATATATTTATCTTCCTCCCTTCCATACAGGGAACTATCCAAACATCACATTTTACTCTATACCGAATATCTCCCTCAATCTAGTTTCTTGTGTACAGGAGGTCATCTTATGAGCTGTGATCACAACCGTGGGCTGGACAGCTCTAAAGTACACTGCTCTGTAATATGGAAGTACAGTGCACAGAGAAGGACTGGTACAATGAGAAATGGATCAGCCCATTGGACTTCTGGGTATTATATTTCTATGCTGCCAATTCTGTCCGCAAGATCTATTCTCTCTAGCATAACCCTTTCATTTCCTGAGGCATACAGTATGTCTCTTTGACTAACCAGGCCAAGTATACTGTAACAATGGGAAATATCAGCTGTATGTAGAATTTTTAATATATAATAGTATTGTGGTTTCATTTAAACTCCAGACTATAGATTGGCCAAAGTTCACTGTACCACTCCACTTAAAGGTAGAGTAATCAATCAATGAGAACACAGATACACCTTCAAAACCATCATAGCCATGCTCAGATTTGACAGTCTGAGAATAAAATATAAAAGGTAATAAAAACGCAATCATACTTTATTTATCTGTAATTATATTGTGTTTTGCTGTTATCTTGGTTTATAACAATCACAGTATAATGTATTAGAAGCAGTAATTTGCATTTTTATCACGTTTTTAGTGTTAACAGTACATCCATCCCTCAAATTACAGTTGTAATTCATTCTCTGAAAACCATTCATTTTCAAAACTTAATAAAACAAAGGTCTTTACATGTTAAACGTGCAGATTTGTTCCCAAGGTTTAGGTTTAAATCAATCAGCACTACATATTTTTACCCTTATAGAGCACTGAATTGTCAAAGTAATAAGATAGTAATAACTTTTATTTATAAAGCACCTTTCCAAACCCAAAGAACGAAAAGATAGAAAATACAATAATAAGTAAAGAAAATGAAATAATAGCATACAGGATAAAGTGCAGGGCAATCAGACATATGCCCTAGTAAAAAGATGAGTTTTAAGTTAAGATTTGAAAAGAGTAAAAGTAAAAAGATCTTATACTGAATATGTACTTTTACAGGCAAGCAATATACAGACTTAAGTGTAGGAGCATAGGAGTGATAAGCTGCCAAGGTCTGGTGTGAGTTAGTGGTCTAGCTTCAGAGATTTGAATATATCGCAACATTTTAAGAAGAGCATTATGGAGCAAGGAAATCCAGCCGTGATGTTTAAATGCATGAATCAAGCACTCTGCATTAGACATTGATAGAAATTGCCTAATGCAGGGAATATTTTATCGCAAAGAAAATGCTCTTAATCAAATTTTTGAATAAGACGGGATCAAGTGCCGCTCCCAGATTCCTTCCTATGAAGCTCTCCAGCTTTTCCAGCTGATATTTGTTGCCCACCAGCAAACTTTCTGATTTGTTGCTACATAGCTTCAGAGAATTTGATATGAGCCAGAGCTTGTGTTACACAGACAAGAGATACTTGGAACTTCAGTCTATTTTGTGATGTAAATTGGAGGTTTTACACATTACTGTGTATTTGTACTTTCATTGTGGTTTGAGATGCGCTCATCAATGTTGATTCTTTGCAACCCCGAAATGTAAAAATAGTCTTGCAGTTCCACTTTAACAGGCAGCTGTCTGTCAGACAGGCTCTCAGTAAAGAGCTAGGGGTGTGAGCTAGGCAACAAGAACTTGTTTTACAACTGCGAAAAATATTTGTGAATTGATCTATATTAACAAAGCTGAATTCAGAAAGATCCAGTACAGAGGGATTGTCAATGGAAATATTAGGGCTCAAATTGTTGTCTGTATCAGCTATAAGACTACGATTCAGATAATTGTAGATTCAGAGCATCAGTCTCAAAAAGAAAGAATTACAAAAACTTAAGACAGAGGTCAGGGTGGAAAAAAGAGCTCAGGGGGTTTAATGAGCTTGTTAATAACAGAGAAGTACTTTATGATTTCCTAGTCTAGAGCTGATTATATCTGAGATACAAGAGGATCTGGCAGAAGCCAGGGCAGCTCTATAGACTTTCAGGTGTTCGTTAGAAGCCTGAGTGTGAAACAACAGGCCATTTTTTTACTTAAACACCTTGCAGTTAGTTCCAAAGAGCAAAATTCAGATGTTGCTTGTTTATTATAATCGCCCTATTTACCCTCTCTATAGTAGTCGATAAGATAAATAGACCTGATAAAATATGTGAAAGAATTTAAGAACACAGATGAACTGATTAACTGTATTGTGGGAGGCCAGGATGGCAGCTTCCATTTGGCTACAAAGGGTGTGCTTTTATTGCAGCAAAAATCTCTTTGTAACTGTGAAAAACAGATGTGCAAATGCATGCTTTGTTTTAGCAACAATCTATAAAACAAGGTGTTTGTAAATGGAATAGGTGTACATATGTTTTCAGACTAAAGTGTCGTATAAAATTTTCACATAAGGTAGTTGCACCTGCATTTATTTTCTTATTATTATTATGAAGATAAATGTATTCCACTGAAACATTTTGACTCATTTCAGATGAAAACTAATTTGAGCTTTTCAGTTGTAGTGTGTGTAACTGTATTAGACTGTGTGATGGACCCATCTGGTTTTGTGCAGCAAGGTGACCCTGCAGTATGAGCTTCTGCCTCACTGCTCTGGGGTTGTGGGTTTCACTCTGTTCAGGAGAGTCAGACAGACCCTGTGTTAGTAAATGTGATGCAGTGTCTTTAGCCTGAAGTTGCTTGACTGAAGAAGAGACACCTGGCCACAGGACTGAGGAGTCTCTCCCCTCAGCCCAGGGGCTGCGTCACTGGAGGAGTCCGGGGGACACTGGGAGACACTGGGGGGGCTGCTGAGCAGAGATTACAGGGCAGAAAAGCCTGGTTCACATTCACCGAAAAGTGTTCATGTGTGATCGGTGGAGAAGGGAGGCGTATCATCTCCCAAAACTAGTTTATTAACTCCGTTTGTGCATCAGAAAAAGAAAGATTCAATTAAAACTGTTTATGTTGTGAGGAAATAAAATATGAATTACCTGTCTGCACGGAGCTGTGTTGGTTACAAGAGGTCAGTCTTCAGGAACAAGATGCTCCTGCAAATAAATGAATGAATGAAACATCACATGAGTCTGAGTCCTCTGCATCCTTCAGTATGGAGCTTGTTACAGTTAAAAACAATCTTAGTGAAAAGTAAACTGAAAATTCAAAGAATAAAAGAAGGTTTGACCTATTAGACTTTCTTACAGAATCAGATCAATTACATACTGTAGAAACAGTATTTCAAAAAGTTATTCAAAAGGAACATCTCTCCTATACAAAATGCGAAATAATATTTTATGCTGTTCCAGAGCTTAAAACTAGATATTTTTGTGGAAACATATTAAGACAGATGCAAGTCAGATACATTGAAAGTGTGAAATGATGTTTAACTTACCTTCAGTCAGTAAGAGTTGGATAGTAACTCTGCATGTTGCTCTGTCTTTTATAAATCAGCCCTTATCAAGACTGAGTCCATTTACATATATTCAGAATTTTCAGCACCTCTTTTGCCCGTCAGTGTCCTGGTCATATAGTCAGATATTGATCAGAGAAACACTTGGTCTTTTTAGACATTTCACATGCTGTCTGGAGTCATGATTATAACCTGAGTTTCTTCAGTTTGTTCTAGGTGTTCCATGAAATATTGCGATTTTTTCTTTTGTTACATTGTTTTTGTAAACTTTTAGTGCTTGTACACACCCGGGGGTCACACCCAAAGAAGACTCCACAGCCGAAAATTTGTGTTTCTTTTCTTCTCTTCAGCATGAATGAACTTTTACTTGTTCCAATAAAGTTTAATACATATAGCATCATCGTTTCTCTGTAAAAGTTTGTTTCTGAAAAGTTCGATCTTCACAAAGCTCAATTGTACCAGATGGTTTTAATTTTCATCCATTGAGTTCTTAGTCTATAGGAATCTATTTTCTTTTGCATAAGAAATAATAAATGTATCAAACAATGAACAAGAGCTGTAATAATGTAGAATAGGATATTCTGTTAGATTAAAATTTAAATATAAAATACGTTTATCAGTATTAAAAAAATAGTATTGTGCCTGTTGTGTTAATCTCACTGAATGTATATGGAAGCTCTTGTCCCCCTTAATTACTACTTCAATGAGCCAATGTTCAGTGAATATTCTATTGATCCTTCTTCTAACACCTCATCCAATTCAGAGTCGCAGGGGAGCCAGAGTCTATCCCAGCAAGCAACAGGTGCAAGGCGGGGTACAGCCTGTTCATCACAGGGCAGACAGACACACCAGGGCCAATTTTCCCTGAAGACATTTAACCCACCAGTCTGCCTCCGGACTGTGGGAGGAAACTGGAGCACCCAGAGGAAACCCACGTGAACATGGGAAGAACCTATAAACAGTAATCGGAATTGGGGACCACCCCAGTAATTGAACCCGGAGTCCCAGCACTCTGAGGCACCAGTGATAACCATGCTGCCCGTGAAAATTTTAATTATTCCAACAGGTTACGATTATTGGATGATTTTGATTAAGCTAATATTGCGTTATAATGTGTTTTTCAAATAAAGACATGCTGTTCATATTGATCAGTCGAGTTTGGTCTACTTTATCAAAAGCGGCTTAAACAAAAGGAGATATAACATATAGAACAAGCCTTTGCTTTCAGCTCTCATTCAAAGGAAGAAACACAAAGATGCTCAGTTATTGTGTGTGGCACAATGAGAGTCGGTAGCAGAATCGAAACGTAAACGAAAAGCCCCTGGTAATCAACACATCATTTTAATAGCTCCCCTTCTTTGCCTGTGGGTTAAAGGCCTTTACCATGAATGTTTTTTAGATACTTAGAAGGACTCATAAGGTTTTTTCATGGACACTAACCATGTGTGATACAGACTCAATATTGAAACGAACTAGAAATACAAGTTCTGTTCTGTTCTGTTCCACTGCGGTGAGAGTGACCACAGTTCTGTTCCACTGCGGTGACGCTGACCACAGTTCTGTTCCACTGCGGTGACACTGACCACAGTTCTGTTCCACTGCGG